ATAACTTGTAGTTAAGAGAAAGTATAAATCAACAATATAAAGAATATTATTATTTTGTTTATTAAATAAAATAAAATGTCTCTTTAGACGAAGGTCTTTTGAGAGTCAAAGACAGATGGAAATGTTTATCCCCCTCAGGGAGACCCTTACTTTGTTTTAAAGAAAACAAATTAATTTTCAAAGCCTCCCAGGTATTCAGCCTGAAGCTGGTCGGCTCCAGCTTGAAGGGAGATCATTATTATGACACACAACACAACACAACACAACACAACACAACACAACACAACTCAACACAACACAACTCCTGAGAGGAAACATGCAGCCGAACCTGTTAAAGGAAACACAACTGGGTCACAGACTCAAGGAGAGGATTCTGGGTAAAAACTAAAACAACTGAAGAAGATTAAAACCAAACGTTTAAATGTTTAAATGTTTAAATGTTTAAATGTTTAAACGTTTAAAATTTAAATGTGGAGAAAAACAAAGCAAACAGAATAAATCTGTTTAAAGTCCAGAATCCTCACCGTTCAGGTTTAATAATAAACCCCTCAGACCACAAACCAGGATTAGGACTGGTGTGGTCCAGGACCTGAACCCAGAGGAGGAGGATCAGTTCTGGGACCTCTCAGCTCTGTTTATCCATAAAGCTGAGGAGACAGCACCAACCGGTCCAACTGGATCCGGGGCTTTAAATCCTGCCTCAGCATCCGGGAGCGCCACATTCTCTCTGCAGAACCACAGCGAGTCACGTCTCCTCTGGGTCTGAGTGAAACCTGAAGCCGGACCATGGGTTAGACTCAGTGGGGACTTTCTGACGGACCTGCGGCTGAACGGCACCAGGAGGGTTTCTCTGAAGGCTTTCTGCAGACATGAAGGAGCAGACATGATGCCCAGCGTCCCTCCTCTGGGCTCAGAGGTCAGCCTGCAGGTGGTCCGCCTCAGGACCAAACATCTGCTGCTGCTGCTCCTGCTGCTGGACTTTACACACGGTGAGCTGAGCCCAGAGTCTGAYGGGTCCACTCAGACCGGACTGCTGGTCCRCTCAGACCGGACTGCTGGTCCRCTCAGACMGGACTGCTGGTCCGCTCAGACCGGACTGCTGGTCCRCTCAGACSGGACTGCTGGTCCGCTCAGACAGGACTGCTGGTCCACTCAGACCGGACTGCTGGTCCGCTCAGACAGGACTGCTGGTCCACTCAGACCGGTCAAACAAACAGGAGATAGCTGGACGTCTTCTCTGCAGTTTTTCATACATTTTTGGATCTTAAAAGTTCTGGATTTCCATTTTTGTTTCGTTTGATTCTAACTTCCTGTTTCTGGGTTTGATGGAGCTTTAAATGGTTCTGATGAACTTCTGATGCTTTTAACGAGTTTTAAAATGACTTTGATTAGTCTGGATGRTAAATCTGGTCCTGACGTCCCGTCTGTTTGCAGATATCTGGACCCTGCCGGCCCCCAGCAGAGTCTTCATGGAGTCCTTCAACATGAAACACGTGCTGAGGTGGACCCCCCTGAAGACGTCCTGTAACACCACGGTCCTGTACTCCGTCCAGTACCAGGGGTGGGTCAAACACTCAGACACAAAGCTTAAAAATAAATTATTATAAATCTGTAAGAAAATATAACATTTAATTTTCACATTTTGTGAAAAAAGAAGCAAAAATCTAAAATAATTCTGWGAGGTTCTGAACGGGTCCAGGCTGAGGAGAAACCTGACTGTGTTTGAATCTCTGATGTTTGTTTTTTATTTTAAACAGGTGAAATCTGAGTCTGATAAGAAAAGATTAAATCCCTCTGAGCTGTGAAAATGATGATTTATTGACTCAGTTCTGTTTCCAGACGTGGATCAGTTCAGAGATTATCAGATTATCAGATTATCTCGACTCGGTTTTGTTTTTAGAGGAACTTTGTGTGTTTGATGGAGTCACGGCTCGTTTCCTCACAGAGTCACCGTCACGCCTGTCAGGAAACAAAAACTCATCGTGAAACCTGAGGAGAGTCGCAGCACGGCTCTCATTCATCCACTGAGCTGGACGAATWCATAAAACTCATACTTTTCACAATAAAAGCCCAACAAAATGAACTTTTCTGTTACGGTTTAACAGGTAATTTTCAAACCAGGAGCCAAACTCCTGCTCCTGAACTTTGATAATTATTCAAACTGTCAATCATCTGAAAGATTTTTAACTTCCTGTGTTTTCCTTCTGACCAGAACAGTTAAATTATTTATTTAAATATATATTCAGATATAATTTAACTCATAATAAACATGATAATAATTAAAATATTCATTTATAAGAACTCAGGATTAAAGGCTGTAATGAGTTTTGTTTTACTGTTGTATAAATGGATATAAACTTTATTCTTTTTAGTTTAATCTACAACATTTAAAAAGAAAACAACAACACGTGAAGTGCTCCCGTTATTTCACCACGGCCCCCACAGAGGACACGCCCCACAGTTTGAGAACCAATGACCTAAAATAAGATAAATAAATACTTATTGGTTCTCAGCCTCTTGTTACTGTGATGATCTGTTTAGTGTGATAATCAGATAATTATCTTCTTGTTTCTAGTTAAATAATCTTTAAATAAACTTTATTCAGAGCYGTGAACAAGACAAAGTCCTCCATGTCACACAGTGATGGAGTAAATAAAGAACCTGCAGGTGATTTTCTCACTGGAAAACAAGAAGAAAACAATCATGATGATGCGTTCATGTGTCAGATCTCTGCAGGAAATCACAGCTTTTTAATAAAAACTAAAACACTAAATYAAATCATCATATTTTCATTCATTAAACAACAGATTTAGAATAAAAAAACAGAAATCAGCTGATTTTGTGGAAACAAAACCAAAGCTTCGAGCTGATCGAACAAGAAAACAAAATAAAAGTTTTACTTTAAATATAAACAGATTAAAGTTTCAGCAGAAATAATTCAGCTGATCAAACGGTCGGTCCAAACATGTTTATTAAAATCTGCTCTCACCTGTGGTCAACACCTGAGTCAGGTTACAGAACGCTGAGTCACCGGGTCCGGTTCCACAGACCAACAACAAACAACAGCTGCTCCGATCAAAACACAGCAGCTGAAAAAAACTGAAGCAGCTGAAAAAAAACTGAAGCAGCTGAAAAAAAACTAAAACAGTTAAAAATCAGAAGCTCCTCTGCTGAATAGTTTTCTTTAGAGAAGCGTTTGATGTCCAGATACCAACTTTTGAAACAGCTTCCCTTCTTGAAATATGGGAATTATCACAGAACTGTTTGCTAGCGTATCAACCATTGATTACATTACTGGACTGGACATGGCCTATAGCTGCTACAGCTAGCGACACACCGYCACAGCAGCCACTGCTCTGCGTTGAGTCAGGTCAACAAAACAGTAGAGTTTCAATGCAGGATGCACGTCAATCTGTCACAAARATATTCACAGCACCCTCATTTCTTATCTGATTTCTATAAAATATGGCTTCAATTAAAGCAGAGAAAATTGCTGATGTTGTGATTTGTAAAAAATATGTATTTGCTAAAGAGATAAATCTATAAGCGTCTGGGAACTTTTCATTATAGGTTTTTGCTAACGTATTTACAGAAGAAGCCCATTTCTGTCACATAAAGACAAACTTGCTGTTTTATTAATATTGTTATTACGTTAGGATAAACATGTGAGAGGTAAATATATTAGACAACAGCAAAATTAACTTTACTACCAGGCTGAACTGTGTAGATATTACTGGTACTGATGTTCTGTCCAC